TTTTTTCGGGGCTCCTATTTTGTATTGTTTTTTTTAAATTTGATATTGATTTGTTCGTTATCTCCATATCTTTCATTAGATATTATGGTAATATCCATTCTTATGTTGACACGATATGGGTCATTTTCAAAGAAAGTTCAATTTTTGAATGACATTTTTTTGAAAAATGAAAGTGGTTTTACTATGATTTTTTCAACTCTATGTGAATAATACAGTAATAAACTACTAAAAACCACTGCATTGCAGAAAAGAAAATATTTCTTTTTAAAGGATATTGATATTTTATATTAGTCATTTAAACTTTAATGTCCTTCCTGTTACTTTCAAAAAAAGAGCTGTAAAACTCTATTTCAAAATTTTCATCAAATAATCTTTTGTATATTGTTAAAAAATGAAAAAAATTATCATTGAATGCCAAGATGTTTGACATTCATCTAATATATGAGCGTTTAAAAGCATGTCAAATTACCATATACCAAACAAAACTTCATGAAAAGCCTTATTGCGGAATGTTTATATACTATAGTTGAAAAAAAAAAACATTCTTGTACATTATTTTTGAGATTAGAATAAACAACTACAGAAAGTTATTTAAACAGGTGCTCTGCCAAAGCAATTTAAACTAGGAAAATATACTGGTAACAGTAGTAATTTATAGGTAACAGGAAGGACAAAACAGTAACAGGATGGACAAAACAGTGTAACAGGGTGGACAATGAAATCTACATTTTAAATAAAAATTCACTTTTTCTAACTTTATTGGTTAAGAAAAAAGAGAGAAATGTAGAATAAAAACATGATTTTGTCAAATCCGGCAAATGCAAGACAATAAAAGACATTTATGTCCATCCTATTACGAAATTTAATTGTAAAGTGATATTAAAATATTCATCACTTCATTTTTGTTTGTTAAAGGTACTCTATGCATTTGCAAAACTAAGAATTTTTCATAATTTTAAGAGAAACAAATGATAAAACTTAAATAGGTATATAAATACCAGGATAATTTGCCCCTCCTGTTACAGTTTCTGTCTATTCTGTTACACGAGTGTATGTTTAAGTTATAATGGCACTATTTGAAGCACTAACATATTTCAATATGATTTACCAAGTTTTTTAACATGTGTTATTAAACTTATATTACTTGGAATAATAAAAGTAATTGTTTTTATTGTTAAAACTCAAGATATGAAGTCCAGTTTTCCTTACTGTTACCATGTTAATGGTAACAGGAATGACAGTAACAGGATGGGCGTTTCTCATATAAATTACCATTTCTTTGTAACTTAGTTAATCTAATTGTTCTAGCAGAATAAACAATTTAAAGAGTACTTGCATATTATGAAGGTAACAAATAGGACATATTTTCTTTATACACTACCAATAAGACAAACCTATCGACCTTTGAACCCTTTCTTTTCAAATCATGGCGCTCATAAACTTAAGACAACAGAAAATGATGATATATTGTGGATCATGAAAACAGTTCATAGGAAAGTGAGATAACTTTTATCTAAAATTTTCTTGTTGGTAACAGGAATGACATAAACTGGAGGGACATGTCACTTCCTGAATGTTAAATGCATACTAGTATTTAGTGGGTGGCATAAGTAAAACAATCGTATTAAATTAATCTGTGAATGAATTCAATTAATACGAGGTGCAAAATTTGTACATATCTACACAGGGTAATATTTTCCCTATCATTTAACAAAGCGCGTTATAAAATTTCTGTTAATGTGACATGGTTTACTGTCAAATTTTACATGGAATGCATAGAATATTTTTTATAAAACACCTGGGAGGTGATCATAAAATAACTTATAAGGTGTATGACCATGTATATTAACCAACGGGGAAAAAATTCACTCTAAAGAATATTTTTCCTATTATTCTGATCGAAAGACAAAAAGGTGAACTTTTTTTGAAAATGACCCATATATGTCGATGAGCTTGAAATAAAGGTGCCACAGGTTTTGACACATCTGTTACTTAAATGTATTCAATAATAAAATATTTTGTATGTTTTTTAAGTTGTTTAAAATCCCATATGTGTGTGCATTTGACAGCAGTAATTAAGCTTGAATTTACTAATATTTTTCCTCTACTGCTCGATATTATTTTAAAATTTCTCTCTTGATAGAAAATATTTGTAAATGTTCAGAGACTTCCACAATCAACAATGATGTATACTCAACCAACAACAACCGTAAGTGATGACCACCTTTATAAAAATCAACATGTGTAAATGGAATATATATATTTATATATATATACATGTAATTTATTATACCTCTATTGATAATATTCGAATTTGATTGGCTGTTAAGAAAACTTTAAAACACAACAATGACTCCAAATGGTACTGTTTACAACAATAATGACCTATAGGAATCATTGCACCTGGGATATAATGACCCCGTCATTATTATCAATGACCGCTAAATAATGACCTCTTAACCAAAAATTCCTTTTTGAGTGAAATCAAATGCATAAAATAATAAGTATTCGAGAAAATAACATGTTTTTAAAATTGTGCATGGTCTGTTTTGCATTACCATACAGAATACGGTAAAATTTTATCGTTAGGCCATAGTTTTTTTATTTTCTGTTTAACGGGAAGCGCCGACCCAATTTTTTTCAAAATACCGAATAAAAATAAAAGAGGTCAATTTCACTTTTATTTTTAAAATTCGCGCCGACTGTGTCATTCATTGCTGGTTTGAAATAAAATCGGGTTTGATGTACACTTTATTTCTAATGAATCATGTAAGCGTTTGACAAAGCTTGTGATAATCAAAGTCTTTTACGAGCGTCTTGTTGATTACGATGACGTAACCAGTTTAAGGAACTAGTTTATCACACTTCGCGGGTTCTGTCAACAAGCAAGAATGTCAACTCAAGACATTTATAGACCGTTATGTGGTAATTTTAAATCCATTGATGATGAAAACAAAACGTTCTTGAAATGAGAGTTAAAGCATTGACAACCTAAATATACCAGATGCACATTGAACTGTGGAGCATGTGTCCAATTAGTTGGGGTAAATGTTGAAATAAGCTTTCTCAGTGTTTCTGTTCAATTATTCAGTGTTTGGCATTTCAATATTTTTTTAAAAAGATGTTTTCATTCTAGATTTTATTTAATCACATATTGTGCATAACAAGTTTAGGTAAAATTCGCGGTAAAATTTTACTTTACAATGAATCTTGTCTAACTATATCAGGACATAAAATTGTGATTAATACATTTTAGATACGAGTCCATATGTAATTGATTGAATAAAATGAGACTAGGATTCCTACAGAACTACAAGAGTTGCCTCTGAGTTGGTATAGAATACTGACAAGTGAAGTGACACTGGTACTGACAGCTAAATTGGAGTTGCACATATCATGTGGAAAGGTAGGGATACATGTAGAAAGAAGTGGACAATCATATATATTTTAGTGCAAAATGGACAAAGAATGATATTGTTTTTTTTATTTATCTAAGGAAAAACTCTTAAAATATTCTGTGTCTTTATTTAGAAAAGAAAATAATCTCATGTAAATATGTTTTTTTTTATCTTCTACTTTCTACCACTTGCTACATGTATTTGATTATCTAATTAATAAACTTAAGTATAATAAGGAATTTATTTTGCAGTTTGATTTCTTGGCAGAGACCCAACCATTTCTGAAGAGCTCAGAAGACTTCCAAGATGACTTTGCTGTTGTTCATCAAAAAGTTCAGCTGACAAATTTCCATTCAGAACCTCAAAAATGTGTTATCCCCTTATACTAAGATAGCATTGTCAAGTTAGCTATCAACCCCATTGCTTTTTTAAACTGTTTTTCATTCATAAAATACATGTATCTTAAAACATTTATTATCATGACTTTTATTAATTTTATACAATAGATAGATGATCACTTCAAGACCTGTGTAAACTTTTAAGCAGTGTACATGTGGTTTTTCTGTCATCCGTGCGTATCGAACTTTATTGTAACTATAAAATAATTTAAATTATTATAATATATTGATTTGCTTTCATATTAGGATAACTCATGCAGTTGTATCTTTTTATCCATATTTGAAATCTAAATACAGGGTAAACAAAATTGTATTGTTGTTTTCTTTCGTTTTTCAACATTTTTTATGAAAAAAAAAATTCAAACCATTTTTGGGTTTTATTTTTATTATGTCCCCGACTCGACAAATTTTTACCTTTTATTTTTATTTTTATTTCGTCCCCTCGACCCAACTTTTTCTTTAAAATTCCCGTTAAACAGAAAATAAAAAAACTCTGGCCTTAACTTAAACGGTTTACTCATTTCAAAATATCGTTACAATATTCAGTTCAATGGAACGTAGAAGCGACTCTTTATAGAGTTGAATTCTTTGTTAGATTTTGACTGTGTAGAGGAAAAGTAGTCGCTAGTTATAACATTGTATGTCGCTATAAACCAAATATTGTTTTAATCAGTAAATCATGATGCAAAAACTTACAGGACTTGCTATACGGAGTGTAGCGAATCCCGATCCCGATCAAAGAAAGAATTGATAACGGTTATCTGAGATTCATACTTTTCAATATAAATCGGTATAATAAAACAATTAATTACCCCTTGTGAGTTCCACATGGTGAAATAAGGACACTCGACCTGGCCCATTCGATGACCTGCCCTGACCTCGGTCAGGGTAGGTCACCTCGTGGGCCAAGTCTCGGGTCCTTATTTCACCATGTTGACCTCAAATAGGGTAATTAATTGTATGATATAATACTAATATTCTAGGCAAAAAAGAATCTACGACGCTTGGGCATCAGATTGGAACATATGGTATGTACTCAGAACATCATTTTATCGTAACTACCAACGAATAATTTGTCTAATAAGTCCAGACCCCTTGACCATAAGGCGAGAATATACTTAAGTCAAAATTTTAAATCTGAATATCTTAAGTTTCATTCAATATATGTTCTTTAAATTTTGCAGTTATGTATAATATTCAAATTCCAACAAATGATGCAAATTTATTTTCATTATTATTTATTTTTTCAAAAGTTATCTTGATTGAAAATTTGACTTAAGTCTATTCTCATTTCATGGTCATGTGACCAGAATAAAAAAAAACTGAAATATTTCTAAGTTGAAGATCAAGTAAAATTTCCTTTATTTATGTTTCATAAGTATATTTTATGAAGATGTAGTTGCTTTAGCCTAGTACCCGAGGCCTTCCGAGTGCAAGCACGAAGCTTGCACTCGGAAGGCCTCGGGTACTAGGCTAGTAGTTGCTTGAAACCTGAAACACTGATAAATACATGGAAGTATTCAATTTTTTTACTCTCATTGTAACGCCCGCTTTTTTATTGGCTAAACAATAACATGTAGTTAAATCTGTATAACCTGGGTTGCCTAAGTCACAATGACTTATGTCAAAAACATATCAATCCGTGCGATGTTCCATTTAAAATTGTGCAATGAAATGTCATCTATGACGCGAAATTGTTTTTTTTTTCTGAATAACGTTATAAAGATTGAGTTAAATAGCTACCAAAATTATAAGGTATAAAAGGGTTAGACCAGTTTAAGTTTTTATATATACATAAACTACTTCGCTGTGTATACAGTTTCAACCCCAAACCAAGATTATATTCTATAACTTGCCTATTGAGTAGTTATTAAATTCATTCCTTAAAAATCGAAAAATTTACAGACGTTCTTACATGCTTCTGTATTAATTCTTAAGATGACGTATTTACAAAAGAAATACTACATGTATCAGAGGACACACATAATATAACAATACTGATGGTTGGAGTCGGTCTTGGATCCTTTATTCTCGGTGCTGTCCTCAGTCTCGGTATCGTCTTCATCGTTAGAAAATGTAGAATCCAAGGAAATCAGAACAAGTAAAGCGAATATCTTTTTTTACAAAAATCAGATTTGTTTATAGGAACCAAGAATTGGTTAAGTAATCTGAAATTTCTAAAAGTTATTGCTAGTAATATTCTTATTACATGATAAAGAAAACAATGTAAAATATTTTTTCCTGCTTCAAGAACTTTTGCATTGTTATCATTTTTTAAAATCTATATGTATAAAATATGAAACCTTAAGGGATGTATAAAACAATTTGAACTGCTGATATTAAAATTCTATTTTCTGGAATTTTTTGCATTTTTTTTTCAAGAAAATGAAATTGTATCGAATAATTGTTTTAGTGATTTAAAGAGCAACGTCAACAACCCCATCTATAACAAATACATTGAAGGTAGCGAATCTAGTCGAAGAGGAAATGTTCCTGATAAGGTAGTTTTTAGTTAGATACATGATGTTATGATTTTTTCGCTCGATACACATAATTAAAAAAAAATTCCAAACTTTTATGAATAAAGACATATTTATTTCTAGCTATAACAGATGTAGCTCTATTATTTAAACTAACAGGTTTCTACAATGCCTATTGCCGAAACGAACACTGCCTATTCCGAGGTAAAAATACTTTCGGACAATACAGGTGATATCTACAACCATCTTCATGAACAAGTTACTTCTGATACAGCTGGCTTAGACAGCGACTACGACCATGCCAAGCCTTTAAAGGAACAGCTTAGTACAGACAGAGAATACAGCCATCTCACTTCAAAAATCGACTCGGAGGATTTCAAATCAAACCAACAATCAGCAGAAATAGAGGAAAACGCAGATGAAAATGCCAAGCCTTTAAAGGAACAGCTTAGCCCTGACAGAGAATACAGTCATCGCACCTCGAAAATCGACTCGGAAAATGTCAAATCAAACCAAGATGTTCAACAATCAGCAGAAATCGAAGAAAACGCAGATGAAAACAATGATAATTACTTTACATTGGAAAAAATAAATTAAGATTACTGTCAATATATTTGACCAATCGATTGCATTGCTCTTTTTGTAATTGTAGTTTTGACACGTATTTTCAGGCTTTGACACGTATTTTCAGGCTATCTTCTAACTGTACTTTTGATCAGCCATTGTTTTCAAATGATGAGTATAAGATAATATTTTTTTATTTTTATTAATTTCATATGATTCTTTAATGCTGCAAAATGTTAACATTTTGTAAAGATATGAAAAAAATATATTTTCAGTTATAAAGTGATATAATATTTGTCGTGAGACACGGATGTTTACACTTCACAAGAGTCAATAGATGAATTTTATGTAATCTGTTAAATCTTCTATCTATTTTTTGTTCGATTAGGTTTGTCTGTCTTTTTAAGGAAGCATAAATAACTCTATGCTTGCTGTGTTACATTTCAGAAATAATGTCCCCATTTTCATGAATATTGCAGGGTAATCTTGAAGTAAAAAATTTTGTTTGAAAGATAAAAGTCGAGGCGTTAGCCAATGCTTTTATATTCTAAACATATTTTTGAGACAAAGGAGGTTAACCTGCATCATTAACGATCGCCAACAAAGATTTCATTTCAATTCTACTAACAGCTATAATATTTCTAATCGTTTCCTCTCTAGAGAAAAGAATTAAGTCACTATGACGCAGTAACGCCATTACATTTTACACTGAGTGGCATTTGAATTTGTCTGGATTGCAGTAATGCAAACGATTTGAGAATTGAAGAGAAAGTTGAAACATATATTGTTTGATATTATTGAACGTCAAAGAAGAAAATCAGTTGTCAATTACAGTAAGAAGGATATGGAGATAACGAAAAGTATTCAATATCAAAGTCCATAGAACAATACAAAATAGGAGCAGAGCAAACACGGACCTCCGAAACATCAGAGGTGGGGTCAGCCCGTTCAGGTGCCATGGAAAATTAAGCATCCCCTGCCGACCGGTTACATCTGCCATGTGCTCCTTGTCATGATCGGGAAATTTCGGAAAAAATCCTTCGACAATTCAGTGTATAAATAACGGACTAACAATTAGAATGAAAAACGTCAGTAAGTATTTGTCTCAATGATAAATTGTATTTGCTGACAAGGTCATTGTATCGACCATAGAATTTACGAAATGATGACTTTAAACGAGAATGTTATTTTTGTTTCATCAATACGTAGAGCATGCTCTTGCGTATCGAATCAACTGAGATATATGTAAGACTCTAAAGTCCGATGGTAACGCCAAAGTCCGATGGTCTCACCAAACCCCGATGGTCTGCGCCAAACCCCGATGGCTCTTGTCTTTACGGACGCCAAAGTCCGATGGTCATGCCAAAGTCCGATGGCTCGTTTCCTATGAGACGCTCGACGCTAAAGTGCGATGGTCTGACACGCCAAAGTCTGATGGTGCGGAGGAACACTTAGCGTTTATGTCGTCACAATAATCCGGCGTCATGACGTTATTCTGCATTCAAAATCCATTGATTCAGTATTCGTCTCACAATACATTTTTACTGATAATGCTTTTTGTTTTTACCCACCAGAGGTATTAGGGTTAGTCTTCGTACACCATTCAATAAGTTATAAGGGTCAGTCCTTTTGTACACTAATGTGTTTCTCCGAACCCACCCGAAAGATTTTAGGGTTAGTTCAAGCACATTATTGGACTGATTTAGATTAGTCCTGCACCCACCTATGATATTTAGGTTAGAGTTGATACTCATTGTTCAACTGATAAGTCTTAGTTTCGCACCTACATCCAAAAGACGAGGGTTAGTCTTTGTACTTATGATATTTGGCATCGCATTTTTGCGCAGTAGTACTATGACGTCATAAACGTTAATTGTTTTCTGCGCCATCGGACTTTGGCGTGTCAAACCATCAGAGTTTGGCGCAGACCATCGGACTTCGGAGTCCCATCGCACTTTGGAGTCCTACATATATACATGTACACTCCGTATGCAGGTGATAAAGGTATATTCCTGGATAAGTTAGGGAAGCTGACGATAGATAGAAAATTTGAAGTTATCATGTTTATCATATTGCTTGGTTTTTAGATTACTATTAACGTCTTTTTCAAGTAAATATCCAAGTATGAAACAGATGTGTCAGACTTTGTGGTATCTTTTATATCAAGCTCACCAGGATATAGCGTATCGATATAGGAATGTAAATTACCATTGTTAATTGACAATACGTAGTCGATATATCTAAGTGTCGAGTTGAAGACCACAGTAAGTGTTTTTCCTCCTTTCACGCATTAGATTTTGCACAAATTCTGCTTCATATGAATATAACAAGAGGCATATGGGCCACATCGCTCAAATGAGTAACTTGGGTGATGCAGTTCTTTACCAGATTCCCCCTCTTGCTATACCTATCATGCCCCACTACCCCCTTCCCTTTTATGATTTTAAAACTTTAGAATCTACACTACCCCAGGATGCTTCCATATAAGTTTCAGCTTTCCTGGCCCAGTGGTTCCTGAGAAGAAGATTTTTAAAGATTTGTTCTTTATTTTTCTCTGTAAAACTTGGATTCCCTATTGTGGCCCCGCCCTATCCCCGGGGTCATTATTTTTACAATTTAATATCTGCACTACCTAAATATGCTTCCACATAAGTTTCAGCTTTCCTGGCCCAGTGGTTCTTGAAAAGAAGATTTTTAAAGACTTGTTCTATATATTTCTATTAAATTTGGGTTCCCTATTGTGGCCCCGCCCTACCCCTTGGGGTCATGATTTTAACAATTTAATATCTACACTACCCAAGGATCCTTCCATGAAAGTTTCAGCTTTCCTGGCCCAGTAGTTCTTGAGAAGAAGATTTTTAAAGATTTGTTCTATATATTTCTATGTAAAATTTGGATTTCCCATTGTGGCACCATACTGCCCCCGGGGATCATGATTTTAACAATTTAATATCTACACTACCCAAGAATGTTTTCACATAAGTTTCAGCTTTCCTGGCCCAGTGGTTCTTGAGAAGATTTTTTATTGACCCCACCCTAATTTTATCTTTTCTTTATTGTCTCCCCTTGTAAGGGAACTTGGCCCTTCATTTTTACAATTTAAACTCCCCTTTACCGAAGGATGCTTTGTACCAAGTTTGGTTAAAATTGGCCCATTGGTTCTTGAGAAAAAGTCGAAAATTTGAAAAGTTTACAAACGGACGGACGGAGAGACAGACGGACAGACGACGGACAAAATGTGATCAGAAAAGCTCACTTGTGCCATCGGCTCAGGTGAGCTAAAAATATGCCTGCTAATAACGGAGCACAATTGGTACCCTTGGGTATTCCAATAGATTGTTGGAAGACCTGGTCTTTAAAAACCACATAGATATTGTCAATCAGAAACTCAAGCATCTCTTTTATGTCAACTTCAGAGTACTTGTGTGTGCTATCAGAATGTGTTTTAATAAAATAATTTTGCAAATGACCAGTGACTAGGTAGGTGAAATTACGAGTTCCATTTTTATTGAAAAAGCAGCTGTCAATGATATCAAAAAGCCTGAACTTTTATTTATCGTGGGGAATGGTTGGGCATAAAGTTAAAAAATCGTATTTTTTAAGCTGTTGATTTTGGTAAAACAAAGAGTGTAAATGTTGTCGGGAGGTCAGTGGAACAGGCCAACTTAGCTGTAAAACCGACATGTTAAAGTCGTTCTAGTCAATATACCCTCTATGGACTGTGAAAGACGACATATCGGTATTAACTGTATATAAGTATTAGATTGTAGTGTAATAGAATATTTTATTTGAACAGTACAAGTCTGATTTGGGCTTACGATCTGATAATTTTTTGATGACGTTACGATTTATTGGAGAATAATGTCCGCATCATATCTTAAATCACAGCAATAACAGTCACTCTAGTGTTGTCAATGACATCATATATGCTGTTATGACCTCTTATTATACCCCTGCTTGGTTAAAATTGGCCCATTGGTTCTTGAGAAAAAGTCGAAAATTTGAAAAGTTTACAAACGGACGGACGGAGAGACAGACGGACAGACGACGGACAAAATGTGATCAGAAAAGCTCACTTGTGCCATCGGCTCAGGTGAGCTAAAAATATGCCTGCTAATAACGGAGCGCAATTGGTACCCATAGGGATTCCAGTAGATTGTTGGAAGACCTGGTTTCCAAAAACCACGTAGATATTATCAATCAGAAACTCAAGCATCTCTTTTATGTCAACTTCAGAGTACTTGTGTGTGCTATCAGAATGTGTTTTAATAAAATAATTTTGCAAATGACCAGTGACTAGGTAGGTGAAATTACGAGTTCCATTTTTATTGAAAAAGCAGCTGTCAATGATATCAAAAAGCCTGAACTTTTATTTATCGTGGGGAATGGTTGGGCATAAAGTTAAAAAATCGTATTTTTTAAGCTGTTGATTTTGGTAAAACAAAGAGTGTAAATGTTGTCGGGAGGTCAGTGGAACAGGCCAACTTAGCTGTAAAACCGACATGTTAAAGTCGTTCTAGTCAATATACCCTCTATGGACTGTGAAAGACGACATATCGGTATTAACTGTATATAAGTATTAGATTGTAGTG